CCCCTTCCCTGGGGCCGGGGGCTACGGCCGGGGCCAGGACCTGGGGCCTGGGCCTGGGACGGGGCCTGGGGCCTGGGGCCTGGGTCCGGAATCCGGGACTCGGAGCGGGCCTGGGGCTTGGAGGCGGGATTTGGGGGCCGGTGCCTGGGGTTTAGGGCCGGGCCTGGGGGCCTGGGGGATGGACTTAGGGCCCGGGCCCCCGTTCAGGCCCTGCCCGTCTCATTCGAGGACCCCTGGGTGAGGAACTAGGCCCAGAAACTCCCCTCCTGTTCCCCTGAAGCAGGGCTGCGCCAGCCCCCAGTGCTCTGTTGGAAGAGTCTCTTCCATGATCTCTCTTTGTGAAAGGTGTGTTCTCCCTGCACGGTACCTGCTCCCTGGAGCGCTCGCCTCAGACGCTGCATCATGTTCCTCAGAACGGTTTTGGTGTGTTTGCTTTTTGACCCTGAGATTTCCAGGGAAAAGCAAGGCGTTTCAAGGCTGCATGATTTTGCAGGTACAATGGAGTATGAAGCAACAGGATAGAGCTCTTGGTCTTTCTAACTTCAGTTGTACATATACTGTACAGCATTGTTCTGGTAAAGAACCTCTTTAAAAACATATTTTCCACCTCTTCAGAAAGATGTATTCTTGGACTAAGAAGGAAGTAACCATGCCAGGTGTTATGATTTTTATTGGACTGTCAAAGGGCACGCTACGGACACAGACTTCCCCCTAGACACTAGCTTCCAGGTAGCTGTAATCTCAGGTTCTTTTCCATGAAGTGTTAAGTAAAATCTGTTATAAAATCACATGTACTTTAGAAACATTTTCTGTGCACCATGTCAGGCTCAGCCCCCCTGTACTGTCACGGTACTCTGCATCAGCTGGAAGGCACTCAGGGAAGCGAGGAGCCTTCTGTCCAAACTGAAAACTTCCTATTAGGAGGATCACTGACTTTCACCTTAACTCCACCTGGGACCATGCAGACTACCTCCTTGTTTAAGCATTCCACTTAATTCCAGGTAAGAGGCTGAAACCACCAGAAAGGACTGGAGCGGAAGTAAGTCCTTATGCCAACATCATGATGATGATTCATTCATGATAGAACTGGAGCAGAGCTTGTCAATCCCTGGTGACTCTATGCCAGCATTAGGAAAGTGAAAGAGGGTTTCAGGACAATGAAACCTTTGATTCTGAACCATAATTTCATGGCCACCAGGAAGATGGTGAGTTTTTTCTACCTCACTAGGATTCTGAGTCATCTCTTGCTCGAGGGTCAGGCACACATAACAGAATTTTTCTTTTACGCCTTGTACAGGCAGCTCCTCAGCTGTGGTGACTTGTGAAGCGCCACTTTCTTTCAGAATCCATGTTAGGTGCTCTGTAAGATCACAGCTGTCCAGGTCAAGCTGGAGAATACCACGGGGCAAGCAGGAGCCTTCAAAGGTTGGTACACTGTGGGTGACACTGTAACGGGAGTCCATCACACAGCCTGTGCTGAGACCTGAAGCACAGGGTGTGAGCACAGCCTGGATAGACACATAGAGCTGGTACAGCAGCGTGCTCAGGGAAGAGCTCTACCATTTTTTCTTGGTTAGCCAGTGGATTAAGCAGTGCCTCAGTAAGAATCACTGTCTGCTCGCTACTTTCCATCTTCAGGTCATTGTCATAGACATTCTTCCACACAGCCTCCCTATCTCCCCAGGACGTGACAATCCCACGCTCTTTTGGGTACCTCCAGGAATCAAACAAAATACAGTAACACTGGACAAGTACTCTTCCACCCCAGTCTCCATGGCAACACCAGCATCTCCCCTTGGTCAAGGTAGTCTGTTTGGGGATGTCTCAGGTAAAGGACATCAGGAAAAAGCACTTCATGTACATTTAAATTATATGCGTTGTGTTGAAAAAATACTGGGAAGATATTTGGCCCTTTCGCAGGCCAGGCAACTTCAGTAGCTGTGAAAGCTGAGACCGTCCAGCTCCTCAGAGAAGGTTATAGCGTGTTACCTAAACAGGCCCTTCCTTCTTTAACTGGTTGTCAAGCTATGACTGAAAATATTATTATATCAATAATAATACATATTCATTAGTTAATTTGTATTTTGTGTTTTATTAGTTTGTTCACAATTAAAATTTAATCCTCAGAGACTGCTGAAGACCTTGCAGGAATAAAATGGGTGTTATTAATATTGGGGCAGTATGCGATTGGGCAGAGATGTGGCTGCGATGTCAACCTTTTCACGCTGGGGTGCTACAGTTGTGCACAACGATCTTGTGATCATGGTGTGCCACTAAGAACACAAGTGCATTCCCACAAGTGTTTTTCCACGTGGACCTGAGAGATGTTGCAAGCATGAAAAGAGCTAGTAAGGATGCTCGTTTTTCCCAGATGCTCTTTTGTGGCACCTCTTATCCACACATCCTTGCATTTAGGCTATTAGAAACCTCTGCATGATGACAGCAGTAGTGTTAAGAAATCTTGCAGCTGCCACTGCCAAACTCAACAGAATATTGTCGCTGCTTGCTTCCAACTTTCTTCTGTTTCCCCTTTCCCTTCCGTGTCACTGCTTTCTTCTGGAGTCTTTCCCGTTTCATTTCTCTTGGCTTTTCTTACTCCTCCTCCCACCGATGGGGTTTGGCTTGTGTTTCCCTTTGCAAAGGACGGCAAAGCTAAGTTCCCTTCTATAGCTCCTTCCAAGATCAGGCATTTCAGTGCCTGGTGTACTAGAAAATCCAGGAGGATTAGTCATTTCCTCATTTTCCAAGCTCCAGCTGTAGCGAGAGGCCTGCAGAGGAGGCGCTGCCCGACGTAACGCACTCCGTGTTCAGCTCCCCTTGCCTGCATGCTCTCCCTGGCTGCTTTATTATGGTCCTGCCCTGCAAGGCTAGCAGTGCCAAACGGCTCCCTTTCTCCTCTTTGGCTGGGGCTGTCTCATTCTGAGTTCTGATAAACGCACGCTGAAACTGCCCTGCTTTGTTCCTGCAGGAACTGCGGTGCTTTACATCTCTCCTTGGCAGCCCTGCCTGATTTGTCCTGCTCATCCCGCCTGCATTTGCCGGCGCCAGCAGGCAAAGATCTCTGTCGTAGTCTGCTCCTCCCATTTCCCTGGGCTTTTCAGCTCCTCTTGTTAGTATTTTTCTCCTTGCCTGTGCTTCATTCCCAGCAAAGTAGTCCTTCCAGCCTCTGTAACCACAGCAGGAGGTAGATTTGGCGCTGTAAGCAATAGTGTTTCAGAATGACACTTTGGTGTGAAACATTAACCGAGGGTATGCCTTTTTATTTACAGATATGTTGAAAATCAATTAGAGTATTCTAGGGAAGATCACTATCTTAAAGTTTGTCGTTCACACCAGTGCTGTTATTCCTGGTGTGTGGGGAGAAGGGGCAGTAGATGCCATCCCTGGAGCACCTCGCAGCTTGGGGGTGACCTGCTGGCACTGCGGTGAGGAGCGGAGGCCCTTGGCGGAGGAAGGCTGCGGGGCGCCCCGGGGGGTGTTTGGGGAGCTGCCAGCACGGGCAGGTCATGGTCCTGTGGTCCTCGGGCGAGCATGGTCCTGTGCTTTGGGCACCGGCGTGACACAGGACTGAGACAAGGTCGCCGCCGCGAAGAGCAGAGGGGAGCGGGGGAGGGGGACGCCATTAGTAGGGCTGCTGCAAAAAGTCACCAAGCGGCGTTTCCGTAGTGTAGTGGTTATCACGTTCGCCTAACACGCGAAAGGTCCCCGGTTCGAAACCGGGCGGAAACAGCAGCCGGGCTGCCTCTTTTCTTTCTTCCTCACACGTCACGCTTCTGAAAGCGATCAGAGCCGGTCCCCCCCGCGCCGCAAACTGGCGGCGGCGTACCGCCGAACTGCCAAAAATACCTTCACCGGGGTGCTTCTTAAGCGGCAGCACGGGCACGGCAAGACTCCTCAGCGCTGCTGTGTTAACCAATGCATTGAGCCCATTTTATTTACCAATCCACGTGCAGGGCGAGGATCTCCGCCACGGGAGCCGCGTTAGATCACTCCCGTCCGCCCCTGGTGTCACGGCTCCCGGGTAAACGCAGCGCAGCGACCGCGTCCCGCCGGCTCCGCTCCCGGCGCCGGGCCCCGCCGGC